GTAGTAATGCATTTGAATGCTTAAGAAACCAAGTGTTAGGCATGTGTTAGGATATTGATTCCTTTCTCTCTCTGTTTATGGCAGGATGTCGAGCGGCCTGCTGAGGTCAGCCATGGACCACTCTGTGCCTGAGGTCTGAGCCTCTCACGCAGTGCTGCCCCTTTCAGAACGCCTACAATCTCCAGCCTTCCCATTGGACCCTTCTGTCACATGGGTTGTCTGTGTCGCTGAGCAGATATTCCCTTTCAATCATGCTCATTTATAACATATAAGAAAATTGCCTTTTTTCTACTATAGATGTTGAACATTCTTGTATATCTAGTTCATTTTTTTCTATCTTCCTCGTCACTGTTGCCATTGTTTAATTGTTGTCTTTTATATGTAATGATAATAACCCATCGCTATCATCGAGTATTACTGTCTTTTGAGTTTTACTTTTAACATTGCACCTTTTTTAGATTAGTCATAGGACAAAGAAAAAAAAAAAGATCTATAGGTTTGCTCCAGGGCTTCCGAAGAAAGAAAAGGATTGCGGGCATTGATTTCAGTTTCCCAAAACTATTTTTGATGTCTCATACTATGCACGGGTTGCCACAGTCTCTCTTTAGAATTCAGAGGATCCATCGATGTGCCAAGACGGACTTGCACTGCCAGACTGCAAACAGGGTCGGACTGATCAGTTTTTTGTTTTTTTAAAGAATTTCATTCCTGTTATTCATTTCAACTTGTTTTAAAAAAAAATATATATCATCTTTGATAACCCGTTGTGCTGTCATCCTGTAAATTCATTGACCCCTAGAAATTTATATATGAATGTAGCCTCAAGATACTGTAATTATTATAAAAAATAAACATAAATAATCATGCTGGTGATTCAGAGTGGTATAACATTTTTAAAACAAATTTGTTTCTTTAACCTTTTTAGCTCCTTGAGACCACCGGTGGTTCCAAACTGCACTTTGTCATATTCTTCATAACTTTCATATTTCATAAGCTTCACTGAAAAGGTGGGGGGTCATATGAGAGCTGCAACTGTCTTCTTTCCAGTCAAATAGATGGGTGATGTAATTTTAAACCCTTATAATAAAAGAAGCTGAACTAAAATTTTTATGTCTACTGAAAGTCGACCCATTTTTCCACAAATCTGGGCTATAAACTATAAACAGATGGCGTCTCTTCAGTGATCTGCTCTGTAAAAATTATTTTTAGAAATTAATACAAAGAGCATCTAAGATTTTTGGCTTTCAGCAGTAAATTGTAAGCATATAGCCATATGTATATGATATAAAACACATTTTCTGTTAATTTGAAGGGAGCTTTTACCAAAAATAAATAAAGAAATAAAGTAAAATTTACATTTATTTCATGCAGTTAATAATTTGCCTTACGATTTGGTCATGTAAATTCAGATGGACAACCCAGAATATACCCTGGTGAATAAGAGGTTGGTTGAATAGCATCATCTAAAATGACAAGCCACAAATGAGAGAATGCTTATAACATATATACTATAAGTCTTTATGTATTCTCTGTATGTTCTTCCAATATCAAATAACAAACTCAGGACACTTTGCAGACAGTGTAAAGGAAAACAGCAGAGGAGAGGAGGAATATTCACCATGCTGTTTAATATAGAGGCTTTTGGTTTCTACAGAGCAGTGAGTGAAAATGGAATAATAGCTATGAACAGTGATGCCTGTACACACTACTATTGCTATTAAAATAGCTGATTTACAACTGTATATTCTCACTGATAACGTGAATAGACTCATTAATACACTTCCCTATTGGGGTGTTTCAAAGAAGCCACTTGAATGAACTCATATACTGATTATATCACTAACATTAACAGAAACAAAACGCTGAATATGATGTCCACATCTGAAAGAACAGCCTGACTCAAAAAGAACAAACACAAAAAATGGTCAACATGAAGAATCCAGATTATTAGACGATCAAAGAGGTCTATTAAAAACCACTGTAACATTCATTAAATGAGAGCTGCAGTAAGTGCAGGAATTATAGATTAATATGGGAAGCTGAAAACCCCCAGTCTTATCAATCCAGTCAGTCTTAAGAATTGTATTATTAATTATCTTGCTCTATGTTCTTTTAAGTTACTAGAGAAGATATGAAGTTAAACCTATGCAAGGTGCCTCCTATCAAACTTTTTTTCTACTGTATGGGTCATTCTATAGAAACGTCCATTTTAGTGTCCCTAGCGTTTACAGATATACTACACTTGAAAAACATGTTAGGGTTACAATTTATTTATATTTTTGAAATAATACCATAAGTTATTTTGACAATTCCACCTTCTTGAGGCATCATTTTAGCAATATTGGTTTTTAAATCAATTATGTAGAATTCCAAGCACCACAGAAGAGCTCGTCCTCACAGTCGTGTAAAGGCTGAGGCCATATTTTGAGGTAAAAAACGTTTTTCTGCTATTTTAACTGCAATAATCTATACATGACTATGAAATATATGAATGACAAAGAAAACAAATGTCAAATAAATATTATAAAATATATAATGAAAGTTGCGGTCCCCAGGAGTCGAGTCATTGGTGTTACCACGTAATAAAAATCTCTTATTTTAAAATAAAAATCACACTGATGACATCACTCAACTTCCTTTTACCTGTTTTCTGAGGATCTATGAAGAAAAGCACATGGTGAGTCCACTGAGTCTTCCAGTTATCAGAGATTTTCTCATTTAGCTCATGATTTCACATGAAGCTTTTAGTTGAAGTCACTGGTGTGACCGACTTTATTCTGAGGTAATTGTGAAAAAATAGAATACAAATGGATTAAATTACATATTTTAGTGGATATTCCATGATTGACAACATGTGGTTTGATGCTCTAAAAATATATATCATTTTATAAAAATATCACTGGTATTACCCTCTCTGGTGTTCCCTTTCTTATGTGTAACACCAATGACGATCGGTAACACCAGTGACTCCTATACATAGCTAAAAAAGTGGACGTTTCTGTAGAATGACCCATTTGCTAAACTGATAGAATATAGAAGGTAAATCTCAGCCTCAAAAGAAAGATGCCAGCTCTATATTATGTCCCACAGCGTAGCAGTGTAAGCAACGCTGGCCTGCCTTTATTCCAGAAGCTTTGCAGTATTTGGTGAATTGACTGCATAAATACTTCCATTTAAGGATGTAATGATTTGTGGCTTTACGATGGTTCGCTGAAGCCTCTCTCCTGGTTATTAATGAATTCATTAGGACATGAATTAATTACTGTAAATACTGGTTTGTCTGGGGCCAACCCTAACAATATGATGACTCATAAATCTCTATCATTCAGAGGTTATAATATCCTGTGAGAAATGAGGCGTTGAAGGGAACGAAAAGACTGAGATGCAGCAAAAATATCCCTAAGCATTTCCAGGTTGTTTCAGGCTTTTACACAACACACAGAGGTGCACACATACATTAATAGACCCCCCATTACTACCATGTGAGGAGCCGTACATTGAATAAGAGAAGTACATTATTACTGACCAGAACGTAGGGTCTACATACACACCTCCAGTAGAATATGGCTTGAAGAAAAGCATGTCAAGGCCTTGTATGTCGCTTTCAGTACAAACGTCAGGCTTTGCAACAGCATCTAAGGTCATTTGTTATTCGAATGGCTAACTAGAGGTAATGGATTTTTTGGGTCTTTTTTTATCATCATCACATCAGAACAAAAACAAAGGCCACTCATTCGTAATCTTAACATTGAAAGACAACATTCTAAGTCAATTATAACATTTTATAATCTTATGCTATACGTTCATCATCATACAATCACACGTAAGTGCTAGAATAGCCTGAACGAGGCCGGCGTATTCAGTCAAAACTGCACGTCCGAAGAAGTGGTGAATATTTGTCATCACACAAAGCGCAACAAAAAAGATTGTCATGTGATTTCAAGTGAAAACAGCAACCACAAAAGCTGGAAAACCCTGCAGGGCCACACTCACTTAATGCACAGTACAGTACATAGAAGCCAGAGCACAGCGAGACAAAGCTACAGTCACTCCACACGTATCAGGGAGGGGAGTGTAGACCGAAAGGCAACTGTCACTGATGGCTAACAGAGAAAAAAAAGTCCAGAGCGTTATGATTTCTATAGGTTACTTGATAGGCCCAATCCCATTTCACCCCTCACCCCTACCACTTAGCCCTGTTTTGCGTGTTCACGTCTAGGATTAGGGTGTCCCAGTTTTTGTTGAGATAGAGGGGTAGGGTGAAGTGTTGGGGCTACATGGCCCTCCAAACGGAGGTTTTTCAGAGACTCCAAACAGTGTTATGAGAAAAACAGAAAAACCGGCAAGATGGCTGAACAAGCAACCAAAGAAACCCACAAACGTGAGAATTTTCTCCATTTAAAATTACGATAACCACTGTATTCTCTCAGTTTAATGTTGTTTCAATGTATTATGGTCGTTTTCTTTGTAACAAGCATAAAAATAATCACTAATAGTATGCTATGTCTTGGTAGCTAGCTAGCTAACTTTCCATTCCACCTTAAATAGTCCAGCAGTTCTGACGCCTGAAGCGCCAGAATGTAACTGCTGCAGCATTTAAGGTGGAACGGGAAAATTTGAACAAGAAGCTGGTGAATATCTGACTTCAGCTTCATATCACTGAAGAATTAGGGGTGGGTGATAATAAATAATTGTCCCCCTCTCTTTGAAAGCTTATGATGCCCTAAATGTAACTAAAGCCCAGCAGTGAGGAGCTGAACTTTACCCTCCTCTGCTATCACTGAAGACGGGCCGGGTCGCCTACAGAGCGGCTCTAGTAGCTGTTAATGAAAGTGTTTTTTTTTTTATTTTTTTTTTTTATTTGAGGGTCCCATTTCGTAGGGCAAGATTTCAACCACTACCCCTTGTAACTCAGTTTCAAAGGGTTAGGGTGACACTCAAAAACAAGGCGTAGGGGTAAAAAGAAGAAATGGGACTGGGCCTTACTGTTTGATTTTACCCTTATTATTTCAAAAATGTACATCTACACTCACCATCCACTTCATTAGAAACTTTGACTTCCATTCACTGGCTGCTTTTTGACCACCTGTCTTACAAATCCCTTGTATTTACAGCTTAAATATAACACATTGTAGACCATCTGTCTGTCAGCCATTCTATACCCTTTTGGCCAGTATTGACCAGATGCAATCTGGGTGGGAGCCCGTTCTCAACACCCATGCCAGAAGGATTAGGGTGACAATATAAGATTTTGAGTTGGACATGGTAGAGATGTGGTAGTGGGCGTACTGCAGCACCCTAACGTTGCTGGTGTTTATACAGAAAATGTTGAAGGGCTAACACAAACTGCATGGCAATAGATGAGCCACAGTCTCTAACTGGACACCTACAGGATGGACCTAGGTAGGTTTTTCTAATGAAGTGGCTGATGCATGAACGCAGGCGTACACAACTGATGACTCTTCGGTTTTAAGCGGTGTTCTCTGTTGAACATCTGATCTGCAAACACGTAGATGCACTGGATTTTAGATACACAAACACGCTAAAGTTCAAGTAACTGCCAATAAAGTGAATTTTAGTGCAATTGATGTCAGCATGTTACTCTACAGTGGAAAAACAACAGCATTTCAAACACGTTCTGATTGGCATGGGATTTTCAGATGGTGAGAACTTCAGAAACACAGAACGTTGAAAAGTGACACAATAACATTACAGTCAAAGTAAAGGGAATACACACACTGACAGTCTCTCAAAGTGCAAAAACAAGAAGAAATGTACCCACAGAGACCTCATATAGACCTGGTACAGTCCTCAAATCCTGATCCATGTCAGTAAGCGCCAGTATTACTATAAACTCTGTATGATTGCTTCTTTTCCATGCATCGTTTTACCTCTTTCATCCTTCCAGTTGTAACAATCAAAAGACCAAAAACATCATTAAAATGCAGGAATCCTTGTTTACCATACACTACTAATTTTGGCTTTAAATAACAGAATAAAGATATTATTTTTTATAAAGATAATATTTTTAATGCATTTCTTATGGACTAAGTTCTAGCAGTGACACGGGTGGTATATGCAAAGCGTTTAAATAGCTTGGTAGTAGCGACTAGCCTGTTTCCTTAAGGGGAAAAATGACCAGCATATGTCAAAGGCCGTCACTCAGGCATAATGGGAGAACTACCCTATGTAGAACTGCTACAGTAACAACCTCCTTTAATCTTTCAGGTGCTTTGGCTACACTACACAGAGAACACAACACAAACACCCACTCACATGTATTAACGCACACATAAGGTATTACAAACCAGCCTTCTTTTACTGGTTTACTGGTTTAAACCATACCAGCCAGAGGGGTAAACTAAGGGGCAGGAAGAAGGAAGACAGAGAACCAGGCATTCAGTCCTTTTTCTCGCTGTTTCTTCACTCCCTGGAAGGTACAATCAGTGTCAGGCAAACAAGGAGTATTCTGTGTCACAAGTGTGCGTGGGAGCATTGAGTGTGTGTCACATGTCCGTCAGGTGTCCATCAGATGTGCGTCAGATACACAGCAGCTCCTTGTCCTGCCAACTAGTCTTGGAGAAAGGGGTCACAGGTGAGGTTTTAAAGGTAAGGGCGACCGTTTCAAAAGCCAACAAGGATTGACAATAATTCAACTACGATTTGCTAGTAAATACCGTTCTCCCTTCTCTCTTCCCATCCTTTCTTAAAGACTATAGCAGGACCAGAGCTGTTATGGTTAGGATTCCATGGCAACAGATGTTTTATTAGCTGACCGATGCAGTCCCAGTTTTACCCCTAACTTGGCTTTACTTCGGATGTTCATAGCGCTCCATGATCTGTGTGCGTGTCCAGTCCGTGAACAGTGCTGTAAGGAGCTCCAGGGCCATGATATCATATACTCACGCCCCCTGCCCCTCCTCCCCCCGCAGGGTAATGTCGCATGCCTCCCCCACGGCGCAGGGAGTGGAGGGCCACAGTGCAGCAGCCGCGCAGCAGGGCCCCTATGTGGTACATGGGCTGGCCACCCTGCCGTGGTCCCCGGCACAACCATGCCACCGTGGGCACCACCGGCACCGCCACGGCCAGAAGATCCACCAGGAAGTGGCGGCTCCAGTAGCTTTTGATGGGGACACCACAGCTAGAAGACCTGGAGTCGTCTGCTTCAGCCTCTGCTGCTTGCTCATCGTCAATGTCCTCCTCCACTTCTACCACAGTGACACCGCTGATGCTGGTCTGCTCTCCCTGGGAAGCAGTGCTCTGTGGCTGTGAGGTCTGTGGGGTGGGCTCCGTTTTGTCCTCCGTTGGTGCTACTTGCATAATGCAGGGGACAGAAGTTGGGCTGCTTGGCTGTGGGCTTAAAGCAGGAGGAACAACCTCAGCAGCAGGATCAGTTGCTGTAGCTATGCTTGCCACAGACGAAGACTCTGCAGCAACATTCTCTGTAACAATCGACTCGACAGAAACAGAAGCGGATCCCTCTGCAACAGATGGCAAGGTACCAGGCTGATGGGTCACAACGTCCTCCAGAACCATAGACTCCACTTGATTAGCTGATTCCACAGCATTAGGGGGCAAGGAGGTGGACTGCAGGGCAGCACCTGCTGTTGGCATGGACTCGGTGGCTACGGAGTCTGTGAAGACACTTTCCATGGCAACTGTGGCCGTGACAACAGATTCCGTGGCAACCGAGTCCAAGTCATCCCCCTCATCTGACAACCAGGTGGAAGTTGGGCTGCAGGCCTGAGAGCGGAAGGTGCGCTCAGTGATGGTGTCCAAGTCAGTGTTGAAGGGTGCACTGGGGCCATGGGCTGGGGCAGATGCTGGCCCCTGGTCATACTCTGTCTGGATGGCCTGCTCTCGCAGGTGGTGCAGATACAGGTGGTGGTGCGACAGGCAGGGGTGGCTGAGGCTCACGCCAGGTCCTCCTCCTACTCCCGTCGTCCCGCCCAGGCCGCAGCGGAGCAGTAGCGCCCGACGATCTCTGCAGCACAGCCCCTCGTAAGTGGCCGAGTGTGGCAGGCGTGAGCAGGCACTGAGCAGTGAGGCTGTCTCCTCTGACAGGCAAGCAGCCTCCAGCAGCAGCTCGGCCCGGGATGCTGGACCCAAAGAAGCCTCTCCACAGCACACGAAACCGCTGTCCTGAGTGCCCTCTCCTGACAGGCACGGCAAGTCCGAGCCGCTACCGCTTCCGTTGCGCTCCACCACTGCCTGGTCGCTCAGCTTGGTGTAGGTAGAGCTGCGGGTCAGTGAGCGTGCTGGGGAGCCTTCACAGGACCTCACCAGACCCTCGCCGACCCCCAGCCCTGCCCCCACCACCCCTCCCCCGGAGTCCACAGCCTCAGCTTCTTTGGCCCCTCCAGCCTGGGCCAGCTCCATGTTCTGCAGGAGGGTCTCCAGCTTGTGGTTCTGGACATTAATGTCTTGGAAGCACTTTTGCACGCCTGTGTCTGTGTCACCCAGGCTGGAACGCACAACATCAACCACCTGCTTGAGTTGTTGGATCTCCCGGCGTGCCTCCTTCAGGGCCAGCTGGGCCTCCACGCGGTGGCATTCTTCCTCAATCCAGTCCTCCTGCATCCGGGACAGCTGAGTCCGCAGCTCATCGATTTCTGAGTCCCTGGGGAAAGATTGAGGAAGAGAGAGAGAGCAGAGCAGACCATTGAATAAAAAGAGTGAAGAGAGGTACAGAAAAAAAGAGGTTAGAGAAGAAGGATTAGTCAGCATTTCTGAGAACACTAGCTGTGATGTAACTAGCAGTGATGTAACTAAATAATGCAGCTTAGACTTGATGTGCAAACAGTTTAAAATGCATGAGAAATGTGTGACCTCTTATGATGTGGAGTAAATAACAAATTGTAAAGCAATTTCCATGCAAATATTCAGTTGTAATCAGAGCGTAATCTCTCCATTATACATTCAGGATCTGACAGTTGCTGTAGCTGAAATAAAGTTGCAAAGCATCCACACAGAATATATATATATTGTTTATATACACTGATCAGGCATAACATTATGACCACCTCCTTGTTTCTACACTCATTGTCCATTTTATCAGCTCCACTTACTATATAGGTGCGCTTTGTAGTTCTACAGTTACAGACTGTAGTCCATCTGTTTCTCTGCATGCTTTGTTAGCCCCCTTTTACCCTGTTCTTCAGTGGTCAGGACCCCCAGGGACCCTCACAGAGCAAGTACTATTTGGGTGGTGGATCATTCTCAGCACTGCAGTAACATTGACGTGGTGGTGGTGTGTTAGTGTGTGTTGTGCTGGTCCACTCACTGTCCACTCTATTAGACACTCCTACCTTGTCAGTCCACCTTGTAGATGTAAAGCTCATCTGCTGCTGCACAGTTTGTGTTGGTCATCCTCTAGTCCTTCATCAGTGGTCACAGGACGCTGCCCACAGGACACTGTTGGCTGGATATTTTTGGTTGGTGGACTATTCTCAGTCCGGCAGTGACACTGAGGTGTCTGATCCACTCGTACCAGCACAACACACACTAACACACCACCACCACATCAGTGTTACTGCAGTGCTGAGAATGATCCACCACCCAAATAGTACCTGCTCTGTAAGGGGCCATGGGGGTCCTAACCACTGAAGAACAGGGTAAAAGGGGGCTAACAAAGTATGCAGAGAAACAGATGGACTACAGTCTGTAACTGTAGAACTACAAAGTGCACCTATATAGTAAGTGGAGCTGATAAAGTGGACAGCATAGAAACAAGGAAGTGGTCATAACGTTATGCCTGATCGGTGTATATAGGTAATGCAGTTAACACGTTAAGTTTTACCTGTCCTGTAGTCTTTCGATGGTCTCTTTGAGCCGCGCCCTCAAATGTCTGATGCATACCTCCTTCTGCTGCAGAGGGGTCAGGTATTGCTCCGGGGGAGGGGGTTTGATGCCATGGTTATCTGTGCAGGAGGTGTACTTCATGTGACGCCTGAGCAAGAGGAGAAAAAGGGAAAAGGTGAACTTTTTGGCAAAAAAAATCTCATTTACACTGCAAACCGAAAGATATCACATACTTTCTTCAAACTGTACTGAGTTTTTAAGTAATCTCAAATAGACATGCTTATGTGTTTTCTGGAACTGTATGACATAATGTCATGTATGTAAAATGGTTGGAAACACAAATATTTAGGCTTCAAAATTGCATCTACTTCTGTTGTTTAGCTGTGCAACATACTTTGGTCCAATTTAACATGTAATAGTATGTTATTAATATGGAAATATGGTTGCATGATGACATCAGAATCATATTGATATGGGCAGATAACTGCTTTAAAAAATGACCAGCATCAGACAGATACACTTCAAACTGATGTATGAAGTATTTATTGTACTCAAGTAAAACCGTAATGTTTAGGCAATGCTGTGGTACTGTACTAACATGTCAGCAACGCTTACAAAACACTAATAAAAACAAGCTCAAATGAACAACACTGGCCAGACCTCACTTGCCACTGACCCTCCTGTTGATGCCACTGATAATCAGACTCAAACTATTTAATCACATACATTGTTTAACCTGCTTTTCCCCTTTTCTATATTTTAATATTTTATGCTAATGTTAAAACCTTATTCTCTGTTCATGTTGCTCTTATGTTATTGTTTGCTATGGACGGGTTCCCCTTTTGAGTCTTGGTTTCTTCCAAGGTTTGTTCCTCTTACTCTTACAAAGTTTTTCTTGCCATCGTCACCATTGGCGGCGCTCATGGGGACTCGGACCCGTATTTTTCTGTAACGCTGCTTTGTGTCAACACCTGTTGTAAAATGTGCTATATAAATAAACTTTGACTTGACATGACTTGACAACTTAATTTGCTAATGCAAATTAATAAGTATATTACAGTGTACGTAGTCACATATAAATAATCAATCATAAATTTGAATTCTAGAAATCTAGCAATTCATTAAAGTTTATAGATTACTGTCATTTGATACTTGTAACTCAAAAATAAAATACTTTAAATACTCTTTCTGAAGGCCCCCTAGTGGTCATTCCTCTGGTGGAATAAAAACAGATTCAGATATTTTTAAATAATATAATCAAATAAAAACATTTTTCCCTGTCTCTCTGTGTGAAACGTGACTTCTCTAATTATAAGGGGTCTTTCTAATGTATTTGTAAATATGAATTGGAATACCTATTACACTTATGATAAATTTATGAAAGAATATTTACAATGCAGACTGGCAGGGTGTTTCCTGGCTTCCGCCCAATGACCCCTGGGATAGGCTACAGCTCCCCCCACACCTCAGAAGGAGAAGCGGCTTAGAAAATGTGTGTGTGTGTGCGTATTTACAATGCTTTAATTTTGTGTATGTGACCAAGCAAATTATTAATCATTTAAATGGTAGCATTCATAAATGAACAAGTTACAATTATTTAATCACTATTATTAACAATGATTACATAGAGGCTATTCATAGGGGTCTGCTATTATAAAGCGTCCATTTTATTCATTTTACTGCATTTATAACTCAACTAATTTTGCTCTGTAATGTTAATTGTGGGCGGCGCGGTGGCGCAGTGGGTAGCGCTGTCGCCTCACAGCAAGAATGGCCTGGGTTCGATTCCCGGCCGGCTGACCAGGGTCATTTCTGTGTGGAGTTTGCCTGTTCTCCCCGTGTCTGCATGGGTTTCCTCCGGGTACTCCGGTTTCCTCCCACAGTCCAAAAACATGCAGTCAGGCCAATTGGACATGCTAAATTGCCCCTAGGTGTGTGAATGTGTATGTCTGTCTGTCTGTCTGCCCTGCGATGGACTGGCGACCTGTCCAGGGTGTGTCCTGCCTTCCGCCCAATGATAGCTGGGATAGGCTCCAGCCCCCCCCCGCGACCCAGAAGGATAAGCCGTTTAGATGACGCATGTATGTATGTTAATTGTGGTGGATCTAGTGCCGCTAATGATTTATAAATGTTTAAGTATCAGCATTGGCAGACTGGTAAATCGACCATAGATAACAGCAACGGTCCAAAAATCCCACATGAGCGAGTCTTTGGTGTTTTTGCCCCAGCACCATACTACAGAAAACGCGTCCTACCTGGGGGTGGGGCTTCCATCACTGCCCTTGCATGAGCCTGATGTGCTGCTGCTGCTGAGGGACGCGTTGCCATAAGGATCACGATTACTGACAGGCGCTGGACTTCGCCTGCAGCACAACAGAGCAACAGCATTAAAGCAGCTCTTGCACAATAATCACACAATTATAGGGCACTGCAAAACAGCACGTCTGGGTCGATCATTATAAATACTAATACCAAATCAAAACCAGCCAAAATCTACAGTCCTACAGAGCATGACAACACCACATGCCCACCCACACTGCAGAACACCACCAACATGCCACAACACAGATTCATTAACTCAATAGACAGTACCATCTGCTAAGATACGAGAGAACACCACAGGCAAAGAGACAGAAAAAATGGCTAAAATAAAAGCAAACAAAAAGAGAAATGATGCAGGCAGACGTGTATGAGCTATAATATGGCAAATATGCAGAGAAAGGAAGGATTCGTCAGAGTGACGAATACAGATCATGTTTGCCAAATGAAATGAATCAAGGCCAGGTGGCAAAAGCTGAGCAAGCAGTTCAGTCAGCAGTGGATGTGGAGGCATGATAATCTGATGACTGTCTGGACTCATTCTGCACACCATGTACAGCACTGTCAGATCCAATCAGAGCCGGTTTCTAACCTAGAATATAGTTACCTGCTTACAGTGCATTCAAGTGCATTAAAACTAATTAAAGTAACTAATTAAATTAAAGTAATTGTCCCTGTTATTATAATCCCATGCAAATCACATTGTTGTTTTTGTGAAACGTTAGAGCTACACTATGTAAGTTTTGGGGATTTGGAGACCTCTCTGGTGGAAATGTGTAACTGCACGCAATGAATTCGATGATTGTGAGCATGTTATAAGAGAATTTCTCAAAGAGAACTACATAAGCGACATAAGCAACATAAGTGAATTATCTACTATGTTGATTTTGCATTTGAGACCTTGCATCCCTCCAGCATGGACTCCAATTCCCATAACCCCTTGAATGATCACATGACTGTCTCCTCCACACACAACCTGTCTGAGATCAGCCTCGCCTGAATGCTGATTATGTTCACCTGGTTTGTCTGTCATGCGATCTGTTTAGTTAGCTTTTTAAGGCTGGGCTTTAGCTTAGCCTTTTTTTAAGGGTTATTGCTGCTGTTACCAGAGCTACTGAGCGTTTCATTGTGTATTCTGGTTTGTTTTTCTTGTTTATTGACCTTTTGCCCATTTGTTTCGACTCTGCCTTTCTGCCTTATCTCTTTGACTTTGTTATGATGCTGTTTTCTTGGTGTTCGATGGTTTTGGAACTGACCTTGGCCTGTTTTTTGACTATGAATTCGGAAGACCCTCAAACTAGCAAAGCCTCTTCATTTCTTACAATCCGCATGAGTCTGATTCATCCTGTCTCGTTACACCTAAATATTGAGCTGGACCTTCTTTCTGAGGCTGTGTGTGTCATGTTATTACACAAACACATATGGTGTGGTCTGAAAAACAAAAATCTGACCTGATACCTTTTAAATTGTTATTTCAGGCTTAACATGATTCACAGCAGAGCACAGACATGTTTTATTTCCCTGCTGACTCAAACAAATCTTACATAGTGCAGCTTTAACTAATTAACTAAATGAACTGCATTCACTGGCCACTTTATTACAAACACCTACCTTGTAGGTCAACTTTGTTGGTACAGGGCTAGAGACTGTAGCTCATGAAGAATGGTCAGCTTCTGCCCACAGAGCCATATATAATTTTATACAACAGTTATTTCTGGCCACGCAAGCTGATTGAGAAGAGCTCTAACTGTGCTGTTATTTTGCCATAACATCACATTTTTTTCACAAACACTGTATCACTCCGCTGAGACGCTGTTACTAAGCAACGACTTTGACAGCTGTAGGAGATGCTCAAGCCATTTGAACATTTTTACTTTTTACTTTGCCACAAACAGAAAATGGACACTTTTAAGATCACATTTGACCGACAGCTGATTTGGTCAGACTCTGAAGATGAGACGACACTAAATTCCTAAACTGTCATCACCACTGAGCAGCTTTTCAGTCGGCAGCTGTGACAGAAGAACAGCTAAACAACCTGGAATCAGCCAGAAATGAACCCAACACCATTCGCCAAACTAAATGGGCTGTAAGATGCTTTACAGACTGGCTGGAACAAAACAACATTAATATTGATCTGGAAAAAACTGACAAAACTGAGCTAAACTTGATATTGCGGCAGTTTTATGGCTCAGTCCGATTTGGTCAGACTCTGAAGATCAGACTACACGTTTGGCGAATGGTATTCAGTTCATTTCTGACTGATTCCAGGTTGTTTAGCTGTTCTTTTGTCACAGCTACTGACTGAAAAGCTGCTCAGTGGTGATGACAGTTTGGGAATTCAGTGTAAGGAGCTGGAGAACGAACTGCCGGCTGTGCAGCGAGTGAGCAGAGCTCGTTACTCTGACGTAGCAACAAGTTGCTTGTTAAGGAACTATAATTTGGTGAAGGAACTGCGAACATTAAAACGTATTAAACGCCGTGTTCACGGCCCAGTTTATTAATTTATTACTTTATTTATTTAACTGTTGTATAAAAGCAATAGAACACTCAAGGTCGTGTTATCGCGAATGACATCACGGCTGTGATGATCTACAGCGACCAAATCACAGCCGTGATATTATTTCGCCATAACACACTCCCTCTGTGTTCTATCACTTAAATATAGCAGATTTATAGAAGGTGGATCTCATAAAGTGGCCAATGAGTGAAAGTACAAGTTAAGTGTTTCTGTCAGTCAAATTTAACTGCTATATAAGTGAGGAGACTGAATCCATGCCAGACACAAAGAGAGAGAGAGTAAAAGAGAAGAAGGTAAAGACTGAGAGATGGGTGGGCGAGGGATGATGTGCTGACCGACAGTGACGCTCCGGAGACTTGGGGGATAGAAATCCTCGGCTCTGCCTCATAGAGACCATAATGCCTGACTCCATGGGGGTGTAGTCTAGCTCTATAAACCTGCAATAGTCAAAACTGACCCACACACAAGAATGCACCATTACACAGGGGACATACTCGCGCACACACCTGCCCAGAGGTGAACTGTGTTTTTGCTTTGTCATGGCAGAATTATGGATGGACCTTCAAATTCTTTGGATATTCGTTACAGCCTTAAAATACACCCAATAAACACTCTGCGGAAAATCTGCTCCTGGCAAATACGCATCAAAGAAAACAAACTGCACTGTCACTGAGAAGCTACCTGAAACAGTGTGGCACCTTCTAGAAGATTTACCCTGATAAGGTCAACAGTGAGGAAAGAGGAGTGAGAAGAAGGAGGACATTAAGTCAGAGACATTTAGATTCTGTAAAAATGTCACTGGTCTGCCAAAGAACGGATAAGATTCACCGCTCAGAAAAAAATACAGTGTACTTATCTCTTCATATTCTTCTACTCTCCGCCCTGCCACACGCCCATCATTTCTGTCACTGTAACATGTTCAGTTTTTGACTTAAAAAGATTAAACTCTTTACATCTGTTTTGGACATTTTCTCTGTGCGTCCCTTTCTCCTGACACAGATTGAAGGAATATTATGGCGTTTTTAACCTTATTTCTATGGTACAGCCAATTTCAAATAATAACTTCACTGCTTTTCCCAGAGAACTTGTAGAGCGGAGAATTTCCACTCCGTAATGTCTTCTGTGTTTCTCAAACGCTAGAGGGCGCTCCCGAGCACGTCCAAAATGAATGGGTCAAGATGGATCATTTAAGCAAAATCATAATTTATAATTGCTTAACAGTTTTAAAAAAAACAATACAACAATTTCCTGAACACTAAATAGCATAAAACATTTTAACGCTGCTGTTATATTTTTAAGAGCTTTTAAACTCGAGCTATAGGAATTTAAAACGAGGCATCATGTACGTTCATGACGTCTGTGAGCGCAAACAGCCAATGAGCTGCTCCGCTCGTCAACCAATCAGCACTCAGTAGCAGTAACGCTAGTGTGCCCAAAACCTGTTTGCTGTAGAAAAAAGGAAATATATAGGTAAGATATCTTTGTTTTTTTTAGTGAAATACATCCTTCTACTTTCTAAAATTAAAGAAACGTTCTGGGCGAGTGATTAGAAACTATTTTAACTTTTCGTTTTTAGCCGTTTAGCTCCATTTACTCCCATTCATTGAGGACTCGCTCGAGGGCGCCCTCTGCTGTTTTGCAGTCCTGTTTTTGATATAATGAGGGAAACAGGAAGAGGCCAGGCTCCTCATAAACCGGCTTTGGTTTTTGCAACTGTCCAACGGCTTCTATTGTAAGTGTGCTTTAAGTCAACAGATTTCCTATACTTTTCTAAGTACAGAGAAACGTGTCTAACTTATTGTCTGTGGTAACTGACTGTGTCTTACAGATACAGCAGATAGAAATTAGTTTAAAATACACTGAAATATTCCTTAAGCCTCGTCTTGGCCTAAATCACCTAAATCAATCAGGACTCCTTGTTTCAAAGTTAGTCTACAACCAGGTTTAAACTGTGCCTATGAACTGGCTGTATTCCTCCATTCTGTCCTGGGTTTGAAAGTCTGTTCCTATCTTTTCTGCTGAGGAAATAAGAGTGTAAATATTGCATTAAGGTGCATTCTTTTCTAGCCCCCTTGGGCAAAAGTGATCAGTCTGCAGAACCCAAACAGATGTGACTTATCCAAAGAAAAAAAAAAAAACCCAGGCAATTAAATCAGGCAATACTCAAGCAAATGCAAATTTGACAACCAGTGGACTGAGAGAAAGCTTAAAGGATAAATTCTCCTAAATCCCCCAAAAGCATTCTTTCAGAGGAGAACCAAATCCTCAGATACAAGCTGAATGGAAGCAGTGTTTATTTCCAGGTTGAGAGACTGGGAATTATGGGGACATGGTCGTGCTGGACTGTGGATCACTGGACATTTACAAAACCAAGTGCTACGCTATTACTAAACAGGCAGACATGCTTTCTGTTACGTAAGTGAAATACCACTTAAAGGGGACTCGTCATGGTGTCAAATAGTTGTGCGCACCCCTGGTGAAGATGAGTAAACAGGGTTATAAGAAATTCATGCTTTTGTTGAATTAGCTTCATCTCACACTGAATAAATGAGGAAAATCCAACCATTAATTGAAGTAAATTTGTTCTGAGAAACAAAATTCCCTCATCAAGAAATAATTACTTTTAACAAAACCATGTGCCCCAGTTATTACCACAGCATTTAATAGTCCTTGGTCCTCTCTTGTGCACTCCCCTCTTTAGCTCACCCACTGGTTTTCTATGGGGTTTTGATCAGGGGACTGAGATGGCTATGGCAGAAGCTTGATTGTGGGGGCAAATGAACTTGGGTCCTCTCCAGGCAAGTTTATCACAGTTCCAGCTCATTGGAACTTTTTAATTGATGCCCTAACTGTAGATATGGGCATTTTTAGGCAAGTAGTTATTTTTAATAGTGATTCCATGGCTTATAAACATCAATACACTTTTCCTCTATTTGAATTGTGTGCGGTCTTGTCTTTACCATTTTAAAGAAAGACAAAGAAAGATCATTTGACCTCTGTATCACCTCATATTTACACCCCACTGAAACAAAAAGTCATGTATTACTGCTTGAAAGTTCATAGATACTGATCAGCTTCCCAAAAAGTAAAATATAAATGGAAAAAATGCTTCAGTTATGTTTTGTTTCTAAGAATTTCCAGGGGTGCCAATAATTGTGGCACAGGTAGCTTTGTTAAAAAAAATCTTGATGAGGGATTTTTTTTTTAATTTCAGAATAAATTTACTTAATTGTGGAGAGGACTGTAGATCTACAGGTATTGCACTGTTTTATTCTAGAACCTATAAAACTTGATTCCTACATCTCCCAGAGTTCCTTTAAAGTTACCTGAAGTGTACTGAGGTTAATTCATTTTGCATTCATAATTCATACTTTACTGTGTTTTTCCCTCTCGTGCTGCAGCAGCTTTCGTCTCCCTTCTGTGACTTCCAACGTGAACTTAAAATTAAAATTTACATGTTTTTGTGGTCACTTCTAAATACGTCCTGAAAGTATAAACATGTTGTGAGATGTCAACCATCACTACTGTGGCAAGTTCTGTATTTCCAATTGGTAACAGAGCCTTTTTTCTTGTTATCTCTTTCAAACTGATGCCAAAAAGGCTGTAATTCCAACTGTTAACTGGTTTTTGTTGTCGGTTTGAAAGAGATAAGCCAGTGGATGTTGTGGCTACACTGTTTTCTTTTGTGTGTGCGGTTAAAGGGGTTGAACGAGTGTTTAAATCAGAAGTAAGATTGTGTTTCTTTAAAGTAGGATATTAAAATCCTAGTTTAAGTCCAATTTAACCAATTTATACAACAAAATTCGAATCATATCAGTGAGACCCATCAGGTTTCTGATGCCCAATGAACCACAGGATGGCTCTCCCTCCCACCCCAACATTCCATGTGATTATACTACAGTAACTCGGAATGACATGCCTTTTCTTCCAACCACAGTTCAGAAAGGGTGGCCTGTACCGTGTCTAGCAGGTTGTGTTTATGGATCAGGTCAAAAGAAAAGCAAAACAAGACGGTGAAGCAGAGACATGGAAAGCAAACATGAGAGAAAAGATCTGGTATCATTACTGATAGCAGAGAGAGAGACAGCCAGGGACAGGGGACACCAGGACACGTCCATCATACTGTGCTCTACAAGATGGACTGGATCAAGCGCAGTGATAATGACGCTGTGTGAAAGAGATGTTCTACTGAGCTGTGCGAAATAAAAGCAAACAGAGAAATTAGAATCTAGAGTACGGATAAATCGTCCATTTCTTGCTTTTCCAAACGACCTTGACTGCTCTTCAAAATAAAGGTTCTTCTAACTTTAAAAAGGTTCTTCACACGTCTCATTCACAAAAATGGTTCTTTAAAGAACCATCTATTGAAATTTTAGGTTCTTTAGGGAACCAAGAGTGGTTCTTCTGCGGCATCACTCCAGAGAACCATTTTGACACCTTTCTTTTTACTCCCTAAAAGTGTAAATTAGATAATAGTATGATTAGTTTGATTAGACTACTTAAAAACTTTTTTGTATATCATGGTATTTGATATTTACTGAAGTACATCAGAGAAGGAAAAGCTTCTACAGGGCCATTTGTTTTGTATTCTGGGTTTTCCAAAAATGCTGTATCTCTGTCGCACAGATTCTAGTTAAGATGCCACAGCTACAGACAAGATGGCCACCAGCAGTACAGTTTCCATTCTGTGAGTGGAAGCCATCTGTAGGTCCAGTCCTTAACCAGTCCCTGGCCCTTCGTCAGTACTCACTACAGGGCTAAGAAGACTTGGATAAGCATCAAACGAATACCTCTGCCCCCAAATATCCAGTCCTTCAAATCTCTATGCTAGTGGCTTAGGGCAGGGATGGGCGATTTTGAGGGCCTATTACCTTTTATCCTCAATACTAGAGGCCAAAACTACAGATGAGAACTCCCACACAGTAAATTCTCTAACCCCTAACTGACGAGTCACATAGTCTGATTCTAGTTTAATTTTTATTACCCAAATGTCGAAGTTCCAGAGCTTCAAAAGCTATTTTGAGTCTTCAGAAGTCTTCACTTTAACTTTCAGCTTCACCTAACAGTATGAAATCTGAAAAATGGCAAGTGCAAATAATAATCTGACTAATTAGAAAGTGAATTACAGAGTTAGAAAGCTTAATTATTTTGTAAAGTCTCCAAACGAATTAAAAATAACGTTCTTACTTATTTATTAGCCCACCAGGACCACAGTTCACCACCCCTGTGATAAATCCCTGGCTACAGCATTGCAGTCTGTGAAAAATGCTACCATATTATGCCAGTATTTAAGTAAAATCACTTTTATGTTGCAAGCTTCAAATGTTCATGTTGAAAGCTGAGCTGCGACCAGACTTGAACATATACCACCCCTGGCTTGGCGCTAACATAACATTGAAAATCCCACAGGGACCCCATTAGCATTAAAGCAGTAGTAAACGGGTGAGGGTGCATTGCATGTAAATCTTAGAAGGTGATGTTAACATGTTAAACAATAACTGTGTACAGATAGTTACAGTTAGCCGATGCCTTAGGTCTTGTTCTATGAGGGACCTTTTAGTAATTGAGGGTAGTAGTAAATTTGATAAACGTCGATAAACAATACGGTCAAACAATAATCATATTTTTAACCATTAGCCACACTGAATGGTAGCCTGGGCCGCATTTAACCTGGGACATGCAAGTTGCCCATCCATGTCTTAGGGGAAGTGCTCAAGGGATGGTTTGGGATTGGACCTGGTTTATTGAGCAGTGCACAGACTATTCTATGACTAGCAGCAGTGCTCTCTACTACAGCCATGCCCTATGTAGGGTACTGAATCTGAGGCTCACGGAGGGGCCGCGGAGGGGGAGGACAACATTTGCTGCAAGCGCCATTTAGGCTGCAGGGCCTTCAGAGGGTTGAATCTGAGGAGAGAGACAAGACAGAAAAGCACAGCGCTGGGCTCCACTGTAAGCAAAGATGCTAGTCCTGCTAATTATTGCTGTCTGATTAGCTCATTCTGTTTCTAACACTGCAACTAAACATGCTAGTTTGCTACAGTTTGCTCTAGGTTACAGTCACTTTCATAACTACCAGTGTGGTTTATGTGTAATATAACTTATTATTATAAAAATCAATTAAGCACTGATTCTGTAAACATTAATTCTATTACAACAGAGTCAATATTAGCTGCAAGGCAACTCCAAACCTATACAGATCTGCCATGTACAATCCTGTTTCCTAAAAAGTTGGGATGCAGAATGCAGAATGCAATGATGAGCAAATCACTTAAACTCTAGTTGAAAATAGAATAAAGACAAAATATTTCAAATGTCAAAACTGAGAAATTGTGTTGTTTTTTGAAAAATATAAGCCCATTTTGAATTTGATACCAGCAACACTTTTCAAAAAAGTTGGGACACCTCTTTTTTTTAACAACACTCTGTTTGAGAACTAAGGAGACCAATTACTGTAGTTTTGAAAGCAAAATGTTTTCCCATTCTTGCTTGAAATAGGAATTTAGCTGCTCAACAGTTTAGCACCATGGAGCCATGCTGTTGTAATACGTGCAGAATGTGGTTTGGCATTGTCTTGCTGAAATAAGGCCTTCCCTTAAAGACGTCTTCTGGATGGAATCATATGTTCTCCAAAACCTGTATATATATCGTTCAGCATTAATGGTGCCTTCACAGATGTGCAACTCACCCATGCCATGTGCACGAATGCAGGCCTATATAATCAGGGATGCTGGCTTTTGAACTGTGCACTGATAACAAGCTGGATGGTCCCTACCCTCTTCAGCCCACAGGACGTGGCATCCAGGATTTCCAAAAAGAATTTCAAATTTTGATTCATCAGACCACAGGACACTTTTCCACTTTACCTCAGTCCATCTTAAATGAGCTCAGGCCCAGAGAAGGTGGCAGCGTTTCTGGATCCTGTGGATATATGGTTTCTTCTTTGCATGGTTGAGTTTTGACTTGCAGCAATGAACTGTGTTCGCAGACAGTGGCTGTCAGAAGTGTTCCTGAGACCATGAAGTGATTTCCACTACAGAATCTGTTTTTAATGCAGTTCCACCTGAGGGCCCGAAGATCACAGCCAGCCAGTATTGGTTTTTGGCCTTGTCCTTCACATGCAGAGATTTCTTCAGATTCTCTAAATCTCTTAATGATATTACGTACAGTAAATGATGGAATCCCCAAATTCTTTGCTATTTTATGTTAAGAAATCTTATTTGCTCACAAAGTCTTTGACAGAGTGATGAGCCCCTCCTCATCTTTACTTCTGAAAGACTCTCTTTATACCCAACCACGTTACTAACCTGTTGCCTAATTAGTTGTGAGATGTTACACTAGGTATCAAATTCAAAATAGGCATATATTTTTCAAAAAACAATATAATTTCTCAGTTTCACCATTTAATATGTCTTTGTACTACTTTCAATCAAATATAGGGTTTAAATGATTTGCACACAATTGCATTCTGTTTTTATTACATTTTGCACAGCATCCATTTTTTTTGGAAACAGAGTTTTAATATTCCATCTATCATGATTTCTATGGTGATTACATAAAGTGGCAAATGTTCAAAGCTAAGGTAAAGCAACTGTATTCCCAATTAAGTTAATGCGCCTTATATAAGATGAGATTGCTAGCATTAGTGCTGAGTCTCCTGGAACGTCGCTTTCTTGGGTTTAAAGCTCCTCAACTGCCCAGTGTGAAATCAATCTTCAGGTGGAAAGAGAAAATGGTCAGTATTAAAGAGCTTAGCCATGACTGCACAGGAAAAAAGGAGAAAGTAAAAGAGAGAGACAGAAAAAGAGACTTGTTAGCATTGGCAAAGCACTTGTGGTTCTTAGAGGCTGATGAAGATGAAGGAAAAAAAACTGCAGTTAAATATATATATTGATTGTGTCCATCCTACAATCATAATGCATGTCTAAGATTTTATATTCAAAGAAAATCCATCAGAGAGAACTTCGACGACTAGATCTATAAATCAGAGAAAGACATGTTAAGCAGGGTTAAGATACATGTCGCATTTCATGTAGTCAAAATGAAAAGGATTATAGATAAGAGAGAGATAAGATAAGGAGAAAGGCAAAAGAAGTCAGGGAATACACAAGAAGTGGAATTGCTGGCTGTGTTGCCTCAAAGGGTGACACAAGAGAGCCAAACAGCTGCATAAAGAAAGAGTTGAGCCATACCTGCGAGACCCAGAGCCAGATTTTTTATTGACAGGTGAAGACATGGAGGCCAGCTAGATCTCTCACTCCTCCCTCCGTTTCTCTGCCAGGAGTCCTCTCAGCACAGCTGAAAGATCTCAGATGCAGCCAGCCTGGAAAAGGAAACACAATGGCAGAAAATAAGAGTTTTCACTGGGAGACAAGAAGCCAACACCTCCCTATTTTCTTGCAGCTTAGAATGAAAATGAAAGTACTACTGTTAAGTTGTACAGGGTCACTGGACCAGGAATGTGTATTATAGAAATGTACAGTCCATCTAGACCTGTCGGATTCCAGGAACATCTCAGCCAACATTAGTTCAAGCATTAGGCACTGCTAGACCTAATGAGATTGCATAGCTTGGAGGGATACAGAATAGCACAGAAGCAGAGCTGATCACCAAGCTGAGAATGCACTAGTTTATAGGGCACATATCCAACATTTGTCTTGTATTATTTATTTTCCCCTTATGGTCCACTCATGACATGCATGTGTAGTTTCCCATGATATGGGCTCTGTAAGAGTCAGGCAAAGAGATGAACAAAACACTTCTACAACAAAATGTAGGCCTTTGTAGGGGTGGACAATATGGAAGAAATATCAGGGTAATTAATGACATTTTCACAATATACAATACGTATCACAATATTTTGAGATACACACAAAAATTCGCTAGTGGTACAAGATTTTTAAGAACTAACATCAAAAAACTGTGGGTACAAAGATTTTTAGGTAATGTTTCACATGTGCTGCACTGAATCTATTCAAAGACAACTAATAATGCTCTCTTTATAATGCGATGCGCCAGGGGTCAGCAACACACGCACATGCAGCTCTTTTACTGCCTTGTTGTGGCTCCACAGCAGAATTAGATTTGTAGGTAAAAATAAAATAATCATCATTTGCAGTAAAATAAAGCTCTTCTGATCGTTCAACACAGTTTTAACAATAAATGGTCTTAAATGCTGGAGTTAATGTAGAACTGCTAATTCACCCTTTAACCCTGAGGTTGGTGCACAGACTGCTGGTCACCACGGCAATGACAACAATCTCACCTAGTTAGTAGCTAACGAAACAGCAAAGAGAAAGATTTAAAACGGACATCCATAATTTAGGGACGAACTGACTTATTTGCATTTATAATCACTCCAGCTGGTTTCCTGATATGTTTAATCTACAATGAGAAACTGTCAAACACTAAAAAGTCACAAAGCAGTAGTCAGTGTCTTGTTTGCCAACTTCCTGATCAAATTGTCCCGTTCCACCTTCAATGGCGCAGCAGTTACATTCTGGCACCTCAGGTACCATTTAAGGTAGAACGGGAAAATTTGATCAGGAAGCTGGCAAATGAGAAGTGACTTCAGCCTCGTAAAAAATCGAATGTTCAGAGACATTTTACAAGAAACTGTTCCACTTTTGCAGAAAGGTTTCCTGCCAGAGATGTGAGAAAAGCAGCTATAGCTGAGCTAAAGCCTAAAGAAGAGTAAAGTAAGTCTGCGTTTACGTTTATATTACATTTTTTAGCCTGTACTAGTACATTAGCACATACTGAGACATATTTACAGCCAAGATGGTAAAATGGACATAAAATGTTGTGGCTCCCAAAGTGGTTTGATTTTTGTTAAAAGGACAAAATAGCTCTTCTTAACATTTGGGTTGCCGACCCCTGAGATATGCATCGTATTGCCCACCTCTCGCCCTTTTATAATACTGATATTGCAGAGGCATTCACATGACACAACAAATATAACACTGCTGTCAAAACAAAACCTCAATTTGGAAAATGGTAACTTTACAGGAGAAGGAAGAAACATTACAACCTGGTAATGGAAGTTATGTAAATGTAATTTTGGACTATTACTATTGGCCTGTTTATCATGAAATTGTAATACAATGCAAAGAGTTACTAGACTTTCAAATTATGGAAAAAAGTAAAATACACCAAAAATGAAGTTGGTTTTGGGGGACAGTGACGATAAATTACTTTGGTTAAAATAACACAGGTACTTCTATAATCATGTTATATCAAGGGTTCAAACACGTTTTCAACATAATGTAAATCATAATTGCAATTGCAATGTTAAGCAATATAACCACAATGGTATTCTTTCCATCTCATGCAGCCCCAACTGAAATGCCACGATGAACAGACACCCAGCAAAATCAAGATTTTTTTCCTTTTTCCTTTGCTTGTGTAGTTGGGTTACACATTAACCTTATATCTGTAAGTACTGTACATGCAGGATGAAGGTGATGCTTACATGTGTCATATTGGCTTTGAAGTGAGTCCTGTTAGTGAGCCTCAGGAAGGAGGGATTAATTGCTGAATAATTAATTGTTAGACGTTCGCCCAGCTCAGCTGTTTCTCCTCTCTCGATCTCACTCGTTCCTTTCTTTCTCTCTCACATGTCCACACTGAGTCAAGCATCTGCTCCTTTTACAGCCCCAAATCATCAGCTTCAGCGTCTTTCAGTGTGATATGACCTTCTCTGCTCTTCTGCTCTGCTCACATTTACAGATTTCACCAAAACATGCGCAGCCTGACTACCAATTCTCTTCTTCATACGGTTTGATCAGAATCAGATTATTCAGTAGTGCATGTGATCACTCAAGCCTCTTATTCTTTCAACATAATCCTTTTCTTTCATATGCAATTGATAATTTCTATCACAGCATCAATATGAGTCATTCTACAGAAACGTCCATTTTTGTGTCCCTAGCGTTTACAGATATAGTACACTTGAAAAACATGTTAGGATTATAATTTATTTATATTTTAAAATAAAACAATAAGTTATTTTAACAATTACACCTTCTTGAGTCTCAATTTAGCAACATTGGTTTTTAAATCAATAATATAGAATTCCAAGCACCACAGAAGAGCTCGTCCCCACGGTCATGTGTAAAGGCTGAGTGCCTTGTTTTTCTGCAATTTTAACTGCAATACATGACTATGAAATATGTTAATTAAATGACATAAAGAAAACAAATGACAAATAAATATTATAAAATATATAATGAAAGTTGTTGTCCCCAGGAGTCGTGTCACTGGTGTTACTGCTTAACAAAAATCTCTTATTAAAAAAAAAGAAAGTCACACTGATGACATCACTTAACTTCCTTTTACCTATTTTCTGAGGATCTGTGAAGAAAAGCTCATGGTGAGTCCACTGTGTCTTTCAGTTATCAGAGATTTTCTCATTTAGCTCATGATTTCATATGAAGCTTTTAGCTGAAGTCACTGGTGTGACTGACTTTATTTTTACTGTGAAAAAATAGAATACAAATGGATTAAATTACATGTTTTAGTGGATATTCCATGATTGGTAACATGTGGTTTGATGCGCTGCAGCAGCCAATTTGTAAAATGTATTTTTTATTAAAAATGTCTCTGGTGTTACCTTTCTTATGTGTAACACCAGTGATGATCGGTAACACCAGTGACTCTTACGAATAGAAAAAAGTGGACGTTTCTGTAGAATGACCTGTATCTATAGGCAGCTTTGGGGTATAAAGGGAATGTGGAGGGTTCAAACTAAAGCGCCATTGCTTTAAGTACCAGTGATCTTAAATGTACAGTGTTGGCGCTGATTTATTTTTAATTTTGTAAGTGCACCCTGAGAAACACAAAGCACCAGCTCTGTACCTCTCTGTCTAACCCACTACTGTTCACTTCAGAATAATCCATTACACACATCAAACACCTGCAACATCAGCAACAGCAAAATCTGCACATCCAAATCAGAGATCAAATCACCACATATAAGACTCGAGATTAAACTAAGGCTGACTCCTCTAAGCCAAACAGTCGAATAATTGTCGTACCATTCCCAGTCCACTAAGATTCTGTTGGTCAACTAACTATGTTTATTTAAATCTTTATTTATGTACAGTGGGGACCAAAGGTCTGAGAGCAGTAGTGAAAACTGTTGCATTTTTTTATTTAATACAAAATGTTCCATTATAAATTATAGGACCAGCACAACAGTCTGAGTGAACAGCAGAATATTGAAATGAAATATTTATAACCCTGTTTCCAAAATGGCTGGTATGGTATACAAAATGTAAATAAAAACAGAATACAATGATATGCAAATCATTTAACCCTATATTTAATGGATAATAGTACAAAGATAACTGATCAAATAATGTACCTACGAAATTATATTGTTGTTTGAAAAATATATGCCCGTTTTGAATTTTATGCCAGCAGCACATTTCAAAAAAGCTGGGACGGGGTAACAAAAGATGGGTTAATTTGTGTAATGCTAAAAAAAAACACCTAGTGCAACATCTCACAATTAATTAGGTTAACTGGCAACAGGTCAGGAACATGATTAGGTTTAAAAAGAGCATCTCTTTTAGAGGTTAAGATGAGGAGGGGTTCCACACCCTGTGAAAGACTGCACAAACAAATAGTGCAACAATTCAAAAACAATGTTTCTCAATATGAAATAGCAAAGAACTTGGGGATTTGATCATTTACGGTACATAATAACATTAAAAGATTCAGAGAATCTGGAGAAATCTCTGTATGCAAGGGATGAGGCCAAAAATAATACTGGCTGGCCATGATCTTTGGTCCCTCAGGTGGCACTGCATTAAAAACAGACATGATTCTGTAGTGGAAATCACTGCATGGGCTTAGGAACACTTCTGAAAACCACTGTCTGTGAACACAGCTTGTTGCTGCATCCATAAAGGCAAGTTTATGCTAAAAAAAAAAAAACATATATAAAAAAACAAGATCCAGAAACACCGCCATCTTCTCTGGGCCTGAGCTTATTTAGAAGGACTGAGGCGAAGTGGAATAGTGTCCTGTGGTCCGATGAATAAAAATGTGATATTCTTTTTGGAAATCATGGATGCCATGTCCTTCAGGCTAAAAGTGATCATCCGGCTTGTTATCAGTGCACAATTCAAAAGCCAGTATTCATGATGGTATAGGGGTGCATTAGTGCACATGGCATGGGTGAGCTGCACATCTGTGAAGGCACCATTAATGCTGAACTGTATATACAGGTTTTAGAGCAACATATGCTGCCATCTAGATGACGTCTTTTTCAGGGAAGGCCTTGCTTATTTCAGAAAGACAATGTCAAACCACATTCTGCATGTATTACAGCAGCATGGCTCTGTAGTAAAAGAGTCCGGGTGCTAAACTGACCTGTCTGCAGTCCAGACCTGTCGGCCATTGAAAACACTGGCACATTATGAAATTTAAATATGAATAAAAATATAAATAAAAATATAACAAAGGAGACCCTTAAATAAGACGTCCTATATCAAGGAATAATAGGAAAACATTTCACTTTCAAAACTACAGCAATCAGTCTCCTCAGTTCAAAAAGAGGTGATGAAACACAGTGGTGAACAGACCCCCGTCCCAACATTTTGAAATGTGTTGTTGGCATCAAATCCAAAACATGCATTTTTCAAAAAACAATAGAATTTCTCAGTTTCAACATTTAAAATGCTGTCTTGTACTTTTTAAATTAAATGTAGGGTTTAAATGATTTGCGCATCATTGCATTCAGCTTTTATTTATATTTTGCACAGCGTTCCAACTTTTTTAGGAATGGGGTTGTACATGAATTTCAGAATTTCTTAGTGTTTGTTCCCCTTATGCTTAAATACCAGTGTGCACTCTAACTAGCATAACTCTGGTCACTAACAGTGGCAAAAATCTTTGATGAGTAGATCAAATCCATCTGAGAGTCACCTGAACATGAGCTTCAATAACAGGGATAAAACTAAAAAAAAAAAACCCTAACCTTATTGTACAAAGGCATAAACATGCTCAGTGTCACAAATTTGCTTGAATATGAATAAAGATTTAGTAATAGAGCAGAGTCCTGAACATTTCTTTGTAATTTTACTTTTCATTGTTTTATTTTTTTCAAAATTCTCAAATGTTCTGGTGTGTATTTTCAGGATAAAACGAACACAACCCCAGGCCTTTAATGTGGTCCCAGACTTTTGGACCCCACTGTATTTGCTAACTTTTTTATTTTAAGTTAATTATCAGTTTCATTTATTTTTTACTCAACATATTGACTGTGAAATGCACCGGCTACTGAAGAGCAAGGTGGACACATCAAACAAATGGCAAAAAAATCCCTCTGTGACGTATTTATACAATTTAAAACACTAAAACATACAGCAGTGTGCAGAAATCAGAGACTCCCCTTCGTTTATTTATTTTCCAGAGCTGTTTGTGATGAGACTAGATGTAGGATAATGCACTTGCGTAAAGAAGAGGGAATTCAAGGGGAAAAAAGAACTGACGCTGAGGTGCTAGGTCAGCCTGCAGCTCTCCTGCTGGACAGTTCTGCTGGCCTGCTGGTTCAGGTTTGAAGGGCAGAAGGTCATTGTTTCCAGGTATGAAGGTGCTATTAGTAAAGCTTGTGCTCCATTTCTCCAGTACCATCCAGGAAAATGGCCTTCTCCTGAGACACTGACTATGATTCCAAGCTCTAAAAGAGTCTGCTTAAGCATTCTGGCTTAAGTGTGGTTTGAGTCAATCTGGTCAGACTTTCTAATTGAGCACATGACCATTGAGGCAATATTGGTCAGAGAAATTAAAAGACAAAGCGTGAAATTTATCCAAAATATCACAAAGCTGAGTTACGTTCGCTTTATGTTATTGTAACTGTTGTCAACTATACTATTCAGGACAAAACTAAAAGCCCACCTGGACAAGAAAACACATGCTCAGACGATGGAGGACGCATCGAGGAAATGAAAATGCTGAGTAGAGTGTCTGATAAAATCTTGCTGATGAAAATGAGGTGAGAAACAATTTCCCGTACTGTGGTGAGGCGTCATAATCTAATCCTAACTCAGATATGTGTCACGGTAACAAATTAAGCAAGCAGCTGAAGTCATCATCATTCTGAGAAAGCTGAAGCACAGATTATGCTCTTGACCCAGTCCACAAAACATCTAAAAGAGTTAATGCACACACAAAACATTAAAGAAACAGATCCTGGCTTCATTTTCAGATGAAGGGGAACATCTGCCTCTGTTAAGAGGCTGTGAAGCAGATGTCTTCTATGCACAGAGACAAGACCTGCACAGCCCGGTTACATAACCAGACCTCATCAAAGATGCAGGCACACACCCTGCTGTATACAGCTTCAAAGCTGATTGGGGAGAGGGAGAGGAAGCATGAGTCAAGCTATTTATACCACTCATCCATTTACGCTACAGCAGCACTTTCTTACAGGGGTTTGCCTTAACTGTGCAAAAGTGCTGGAAATGGTTGGTTCGATGACTCTGCTAACCCTCCCCTCAACAATCTCCACCGTCAACATGTCCTACTACACTCAGACAACCGACCTTGAATTATCTTACGTCACAGAAATCTCTATGCAGTTTGTGTGAAAGAGTGATGAGCCCCTTTGCTGTGCATGTATCTGAAATGAATGTTCAGTTTACTAACACTGATCATGTGAATCTGTGAGGCTCTGGGTAGAGCCTGACCAACGTTAACGATGTTGTGGCCGATACTGATTTTAAAGGGGTAAAAATTCTGCTATTCTGAATCAGTACTAACAGAACATTTTATAATATCAAACCTAACTATTATATATATCAATAATCACTGAAACAAAAGAGAAATTATACATTCAATTACAAAGAGACAGAAGTGTCAATGAAGTTATTTTCCCAAAAAGTCATTCTA